GATGAATTTTGAGAAATGCATACATCCCTGTTACTCAATCACCTACCAAGGTAAAAAACATTACTCACTTCCCAATAATTCCCTCATAACCCTTCCCAGTCCATCTCTACCCGCCCCACCCCACCTCGTGGCAACCACTTTTGTGACTATTTTTTTACCAAAGATTAGTTTTGCCTGTTTTGGAATCTGTATAAACAGGATCACATAGTATGCATGTTTGTATGTAAGACTTCTATCTCTCAGCATGAATGCTTCTGCAATTCATGCATGTTGTTGCATGTAATAATTTGTCCCTTTTTATTGCTGGAGTAGTCTACTGTATGGATGTGCCAGGGGCAGTTCAGCTATGCCCCCTTGTACTTTTAAAGAAATCACTATCAAAAATCAATGTTAAATACCTCAGCACTCATAATAACCTCCCAGGAAAAATATCAGGATAATTATCCAAAATGTCATTTCTGAAGCCTACCTTGGGTGACTGACTAATGGGACTTTTGATGCCTTTATATTCAGTGGCAGAATTATAAATTTATGCTTTTTGTCACTTCGTAGCTCATTCATGTGGTAGAGACCCCTGTAAGAACCAGTATTAGTATAAAGCTGAGCTGCTTATAACAAACAAAATAATACAGAATTTTCTGTTATTCCATTTCCCATCATCCCTAAAAACTGTCAATTCTGATCCTTGGTGACCGTGAAGCCAACGAGATATGTTCACAATAACGAGCATGGCAATATATCCCCTTCTTGTGTAAAAAAGAGTAGGAGACATTTAGAAACGAGGGACACTGTTGGTATTAATTAGATGTGATGATTAATTCTATGTGTCAATTTGACTGGACCAAGTCCACACCCAGATAGCTGGTGAAACATTATTTCTTGGTGTGTCTGCGAGGGTGCTTCCAGTCGAGATTAGCATTTGAATCAGTGGGCCGGGCAAAGAAGCCGGCCCTCACTAATGCACTGGGCACCATCCAATCCACTGAGGGCCTGAACAGAAAAAAAGGCGGAGGAGGGCGAATTTGCTCTCTGCTTGAGCTGCAATGCATCCATCTTCTCCTGCCCTTGAACATCACTGTTCTTTGTTCTCAGGTCTTGAGACTCACACCAGGGCTTATACACCATTGGCCTTCCAGCTCTTGGGCCTTCAAACTCAGATGGAGCTTACAACACTAGCTTTCCTGGGTCTAGATGGCGGACGGTGGGACTTCTCAGCCTCCATAATTGCACGAGCCAATCCCTCATAATAAATCTCTTTCTGGATATCGATACATATCCTATTGGTTCTGTTTCCTTATAAAACCCTAACTAAGATAGATATTGGTGCTGATAAGTGGGGGTGTGCTGCTGTAATAAATACCTGAAAAGGAGGAAGTGGTTTTGGAACTGGGTAATGGGTAGAGATTGGAAGAGTTTTATGAGCATGCTAGAAAAGGTCTAGATTGCTGTGAACAGATTTTTAAAGGTGATTCTACTGAAAGCTAAAAAACAAACAAACAAACAGAGGAGGAGGAGAGCTGTAGACAAAGCTTCCATCTTAGAGAAAACCTAAATAGGAATATTGGTAGGGACATGCACAGTAAAGGTCAATCTGAACAGATCTCAGATGGAAAAAAAGGAATATGTTCTTGAACAATGGACAAAAAGGCCTTGTTATAAAATGGCAAAGAACTTGGCTGAATTGTGTTAGATTTCTAGTGTTTTGTAGAAGGCAGAACTTGTGAGCAATGAAACAGGATACTTACTTGAGGAGATTTCTAAACAAAATGTTGAAGGAACTGCTCGGCTCCCCTTGACTAACTACAATAAAATGCCAGAAGAGAGAAATAACTTGGAACTATTAATAAAACGGGAAGCAAAGTTTAAAGGTTTGGAAATTTTCAGTCTATTCACATGGCAAAAAATAAGGAAGTGTTCTCAGGAGAAACACTGAAGGTGTGACCACTCTTTCTTTTGATAAAGGAGATTAGTGTGGGTGTGAACCCAAGATTTAATCAACCACATCTG